GAAAACCATCTGCATTGATTCTTCATTAATTCAATTGGAGCGTCGTACTCTGACAAGGCAAATAACTACGTAATTAGAAAATCCTCACTGACTGTCAAGGTTCAAGACTATCAAGTCTTAGCTGAAGCTAGCAGCTCATTTTATCAATTATTTCCAGCGAAGATCACAGCTGTTCTCTGGGACGAACGCCTAAGCACATATAAATGGGGCCCAAATGGTAGGAGCAAGGCAGGCAAAAGCTCCCCCCAGAGGAAAACTCATCAACTGGGATAATTAGCAGAAAGGAAACTGATGATTAGAGAGCGGTGTGCATATATAAGGGGTGGATGCCACTTAAAAATGTTCCTTTCAGGAAGGCTGTCAAGCTAACTAGCTTGGAAGAGTTTGATGTGAGTTTTTAAAATGTTCTCCCCTCACTTGTAGCGATATAGTAATATACTATTTTAGTGTTATCGGTAGTGACTATTTAATATGTAGTCCAGACTATTGAGCAATAATATAAAAATGGTGGAATGGCATCAGCTTGAATCTACAGCACACTGGTGTGTTTTATGGCAAAATAGCATTGAAATAGCAATACACAATATTTTACTAACAGTTGAGGAAATATAAAGCATGCTAAGACTTCGGGTTCTAAAATTCTGAAAACAGACCAACCCTTAAAGTCTACTTCACAATACATATTAGCTACTACTACATCCAGTCTCTGGTGAAAGAGAAATAACAAGTCCTGCTTATTATAATCAGGATATCTTAAGAGAGGAGAGCTTTGCTTTACAAGCCATCCAAAGTAATCTATCTGAGGTGAAGTAAAATGGTTTTCTCCCTAGTTAAGGATACCCTTAGTATTCCTTAATGCAGCCTAATAGCTACTATTTATGTAAGTTACTATTACTCTACTCACTGTAGCAGAGGAGAGAGACTTCTCCTTTTTTTGGCCACACTAGTTAAAGAATTCTGGGAACATTAGTCCCAAAAGGCAACCTATCTTCTCTCTGAACCGTGTCCAGCTAATGGAAGGGGAAAGTTTAGACTGATTGACTATAACTTTACATGAATGTTTTCTTTTGTTCTCCAAACAGTAGCTTTGACATAAAGTATCTCGTGTTAAAAACACTCTTTTCCTTCTATATATATTATGTAACTCTTTGCTTTTATAATGTTGACAACATGAAATAAGAGGATTACAAACACCTATTAGCCCTTGTCTGTGTCCCGGAATTGACTCTCCTTGCACAGGAACTGTTAAAGGACAACATAAATAAAGGTAAAAAGAAGCAGGAAACGGCTTGGCAACAATGTACGGAAACAGAGGAAAGGTTACAGTGAGTGCAAGCATCAACTCTCTTCTAGCCCAGGGTACTTCGGCCTCAGATAGAATGAAGTGGCATGTTAAACTTTTAAATTGCCTTTGGCTCCTTTCATCTTTCACTCTTGATGCTGTTACAGATTGCGACCATGACAGAGTTCCTGGTTTGTTTTCATTGCTGCATTGGTGACCAGCCCCCAATGGTGAGTTTATTTTGTTTCAGAAATGCATGTGTTGGCTTTCAAGGCACAAGACAGCCTGCATCAAAACCATTGTGCAAAACCCGTTAGATTACCAGTAAAACTCCCCAAACTAAAACATTAAAACAGCAGGGGAGTTGTGAGTCTACCCAACTGAAGAAACGAGATGGGTTTCGTGGCTGTCTTTATAGCAGCCATGGTGATTTTTGCAACTTATCTGAACCCTTTTTTCATTAAAATCCATATTACTTCTCTCTCTTGGCCTTTCTAAAGAAGAGGCATCCACGACTTGACAGAAATATGATCGGAGAGCCAATGAACTTTGTACACATCACCCACGTTGGAAAGAAAGAAATGGACAGTAGCCCTCCTTCTGTAAGTATGTGCTATTTGTGAGGGTGCCGGGAAGCAAGGTGCAAGGGTAGCGCAGGCTTTGATATAACCACTATGGTGCAATGAAGTGAACTGGGCACAGTGGAGGACGACCCTACTTCCAATAGTTGTAGCTTGCAAAAGACAACTCACTGTACAGGATACACACAGTCTAGCTTCTAAACTTAACATGGCACTGTGTTAAAGGAACACATACAATGGAAGAAAATAAGCAAAGTCTGCCACTGAACAGAGTTAGCATAGTGCACTGGACAAAATACTGGACTTGGATTCAGGATACTTGGGATGAAATCCCCCTTTGGCCAAGGAGACTCATCGGTAACCCCTTCCTGAATATCTCACCTACCTTGAAAACCACATTAGGGTCACTGTAAGTCTTGACAGCACATAATAAAGCAAAATGTGCTGCTTATATACTGCCCCCGCTTAAAGCAGTCTCTGGATGGTTTGCAATTTAATGATGGAGGCTAGATATTGGCCCTGTTCCCACATGAGCTGGGAACTCAATTTATCGATCTTGGAAGGATGGAAGTCTGAGTCAACCTTGAGCCAGACGTCTGAGCCCGTCAGGACTGAACTCGGGTCCTGAGCAGAATCTTGACTACAATATTGCAATTTGACCACTAGGCCATAAGGGTCCTAATACAAATGGATAACCTAAACACAAAGTCAAAAGTGGAAGTTACACAAAGATGTGGAATTATTCAGTTTTAAAGGGTAGAATGTAGCATTTTATTAACAAAGCTTAGAATATAGTGTTCCTTTTAATAACCTTGAGCTTTCAGGAAAGGATTGTGGTTGAAAACTGAATTGTGATAACAGGTGTGCCTTTTCTAGGTTGAGCAAATTCAGGAACGGATGAATTCCAAAGGAGGCTATAACAACAATAATTCTACACCTACACAGATTTAGGAGATGTTTAAATAAAATTAAATACAGTATGTTCTGTTCTGAAAGTAAATGGGTCTAATGAATATAATTGATTGTTTTCATTATAAATTGTCGTATTTTGACTAGGATTGTAAATCGCTAAATTCATGTCAATTCTTGTTCTGTAAATGTCTGTTTATGTTGGGGATTTCACCTCTATGAAAGCAATACGTACAAGGCATCTTAATCCTGATAACAGAATTATATATACTAGTGCTAAATGATCTAAAACCACTACTTAAAAATGGTGGCTGCAGTTGTAAGTTATACTTCACTTCCATCAATAAACTGAGATTGAAAAGTCTTTTGCTAGGAAAGGGGAGAGGTTAATTGAGCCAGTTTTGCCTTCTATAGAACAGAAATATTTCCAGATAAGGTTGTACCAAGCAAACATGTCAACATCTGATTTCAGTTATAGTTTGTTTGGGCTCGGGAAAGATACTGTCCCTCTGGAAATACTGACTGTTCATAACATGCCAAGGTACTAAGCATTCTACTTATTAGAACATAATAGTACGTACTCGTAGTCTTCAGGTTTTACAAATACTGCTGCATGCCTTCCCTTAACAAAAAATTTGGAAGTCTGTTCAGATTTTTGCAATGATAGATCCTGCCATAAAGGAGTATGGCCCTGTGTGATATTTTGGGTTCTCTCCTGACATGGGTAAATGGTACATCTTGGAAAGAGTGTTTATATTGTAATCCTTTTATACTAATTGAAAGCTCATAAGTATTATGAATGGAAAATGTAAGGCTTTGGTGAAGGAGACTTCTGCAAAAGAATCTGGAAACATTCAGCAGGAGCAGGTGATAGGATTCTTGCTGTTACTATAATTGGGAATTGTCATACCAACGTTCTAGAAAGATTTGATTTTAGCAGCAGGGTGGTATTCTGCTATATTTGTTGTCCATGTCCTCATCTTCTACACTTCTGATAAGGCTATGAAGTCTGGCCCTTGTGGGTCGCTTCTGAGATTTGTGCATTCTCTGCTCAATGCTAACTGAAAATGGCATCCACCAGCATCATGAGAACTACTTTCCTGTACTGTCAGTACTTAACTAGAACAGTAGTTTGGGCTTAGTACACACATGGTTCTTCAGAGATACTTCATGGGAACGGAGTGACAGCAGCTTGAATCACAAGCTTTGAGAACTGCTATACTCTTTGGAAGCATAAGGCTATCACACCTCATTTTCAGCTGGGTGAAGTGAAAGCAGAGAGTTGAAGCTCCCTTTTTAATAACCACTGGCAACACTGAAGGAAGTTTCCTGTTAGGTATGGTGCTCCTCGTTCTACTAGAGAGGACCAACTTCAAGTTTTAAAAGTATGCATTTTAACTAGTGATCTGTGTACCATTTTAAACATACAGTAAATCAATCTTATTGAAATATTCACAAGTGTGTATGTGTATTATTAAACATAATGTGTGGTGTTGAAAAACTTCTGTACATTTCTGACAAAGAGAACAGTTGGTTCATGTTTAAGTAACTATCCAGTGGAACAGCTAGAAGTCAATGATCATTAAAAGGTAAATGTCATACAAATTCTCTGGTTCAAATTGAGCATTTCATATTATTGCTATGATTTTGAAAATTCTAATTCTCCCTTGAATATAAGGGCTGCTTTAGAATAAACATGACCTTGCCTTGATGCCTTGTTCTACAGACACAACCATGAGGACAGACAGCAGCACCACCACCACCACCACCAGCAGCAGCTTAATAGTACAGAACTGCTGAAAATTGACTTCTCTATTCTTATCAAACAATAGAATGGAAGAATATTGTGTGTGCCCACAAAATGGATTGGAAGAATGAAATCAGCTTTCATTAGAAAGTGCTAGAACCAATGGCTTTTGTGGGATGACTGCAGCAGGAAATAATGGACCCGAAATATCAGCATCAGGGTGCTCAAAGCATTGGTTGTGTCATCTCTTATCCTCTCCGGGTTCAAGAGGTTGGCACTCCTCCTCTTCCTCCTCCTCGTGGCCTAACAGGTCTGAATCACGTAGTAGCCACATGAATCGCTATGGCTAGAAAGTTCTTCTTTTGTCTAACTATCTCCCTCCATGTTGTGTTCGTCATTCCTCACCCCATGGAAAAGGCAAGCTCTGGCAGTTGGAGAGTGGCATCCAAGCACTCCTCCACCTTAGCAGGGACCTGGACGGCTGGTGGCAGCCGAACCTTATAGGTCTGGACACCACCGGCAACAGCATGCCATGTTGTCGGCTTGATGAGAATCCAAACCCAACGGACATGGCAAGGTGCCACGTCCGCCCGGGCCCACTTCCACCTTCTCAGCCACCCAACCCCTGGACGACAACTGCCAGGAATCAAAAACCGCCACCCAATTCCCATCTGAACCCAACCGAAGGCGCCGCCCCCTTTTTTGGACCCTCAAAATACAGGGTGTCCAGGGCAGGCCTCGACCTTCCTCACCCTTTAGGGTTGGCCTGAGGCAAGGGGGTGGTTTCCGATTTCCCCCTGCTCTGGTCAGAGAGGTGGGACCCTTGCCTTGCGGGGCCTTCAGCATCCTTCCCAAGCCTCCCCCATTGACCATCTGGCCAGGAGAACGCCCCTCCCTTGCCCCGGAGGCAGAAAGTGGAGCAGAAAGAAAGGCCTGCCACCTTTCCACCCCACATTCGCAGCTCCAGCCACCCCATCTTACCGATTCCTTTTATTTATTGAAAACATGGGCGACCTCAGGCCTAGAGTACAGCAACAATTCCACATACAGTACAGTATATCTATATCTTTATACATAGATATAGTATATATACAAACACATACTGTATATGGATGAATAGATACATATAGATATACAGTACTGCAACAATTCCATATACACACACCCTCCGTATTTACCTCTATTTCAATATTTTAAACTCGTGTCCACCCAGCGGCCTCCAGGAGCCCCCGGCCCCGTCTGCTGCTAAGGAGTGCCCAGGCGGCGGCCTTCTCCTCCTCCTGCTCCTCGGGGCCCAGGTCTACTTTTCCGAAGCGCAGGGCACTCTGCCCATGCTCAGAGGCCCCCTCGCCGGCCAGGGCGGGCCGGGCGTCTCCTGCGGGCCGAGGAGGCGCTTCCCTGCCCAGGTCGTGACGGGCGTCGAGGCGGGGGAAGAGGAGACGCGAGAGGGGCCGGA